TTAAAAAAAAAAAAAAAAAAAAAAAACAACTCTATCATGAAACAGTTGACCTCACTTTCAGATAAGAAAACTAAGATTTGGAAAACAAGTAATTTGACCAGAGAGGACAGAGAAAACTATGAAGATGCTGGTATTTGAATCTAAATCGGATTTGCTGGCTGCTGAGTTCTTTGCCACTTTACCTATCAGCCTTTAAGAAAGCCATCCTAGTAAGGTAAAGTATGGTTATGGACTGAATTGTGTCCCCTCAAAATTCATATGTTGAAGCCCTAGACCCCAATATATCTGTATTTAAAGATAGGGCCTTTAAAGAAGTAAGTAAGATTAAATTAAGGTCTTCAGAGTGGGACCTTAATCCAATATAACTTCTCTTAGAAGAAGAGAGGGACACCAGGGGTGTGCACATACAGAGAAATGGCCAGGTGAAGGCACAGCAAGAAGACAGCTATCTACAAGCCAAAGGGAGAGGACTCAGGCGAAACCAAACCTGCCAACATCTTGATCTGGGACTTCCAGCTTCCAGGACTAAGAAAATACATTTCGGTTGCTTAATCCTCCAAGTTTGTGGTAGCCTTAGCAAACTAATACAAGTATATAAAACAATGGGACTAATTTCATAAGCTCCATGTGAAAATCATTTTATTTAATTACTTGAATGCAATTACACTGTATATGATTTTCAGACATGAGACAATTTAAGCACAGGGCAAGTTTGCTATCTCTAAGTTTGTAGTGATTGGCCACCAGAAACCCTCTGTTATCAGGTAATCAATATAAGTGTATAGAGATCAGAAAAATGAACTCTTATTTTTGGCACATAGCTGGATGTACAAAGAATGTAGAAAAGTCAGGTTAAAGTGAAGAAAAGTAGTCCATTTTCCCAGGAATTGAATCTGTTTGATTCAATTCCTTATTTGATACTGACAAAGAAAAACAGGACTAACACTAGGATCTTTATACAAGCCTATTCCAAGCCCATTCATTTGGTAAACATACTTATTTCCCAAACAGCAAGCATCAAACACAACCACCAGAGTATTCCTTCTAGAGAAAAGAAATGAAGTAAAAACACCAACTATGTTAACCAAAAGAAATCTAGTCTCATACATCTGTAACACTATAGTGGCTCTAACAAGCTACTCTCTAAGAGATAGTGATGTGTTCCCTAACACCACGACCAATGCCAATAAAAATCAAGTAAAATGAAAGAGAGCAAAACAAACAAACAAGAATCTTTACATATTGCCTTTTCTGGGGTTTGACTCATAACTTGGCAGTATGCCTCATTTCCTCTTTAGGACCTAAAATCTCCTTATGAGAGTTATTTGACTATCTGCTTAAGTTTCTGTGAAAAAACTGCTATATGGTAACTGATAAATGATAAGTATAAATGAATGGATGCTGTGTTTGTTTTTCCATCAACACAAAGAGTTCAACCTACATTGGGAGTAAATGAGATGTTCCGAGCCAAAGCATTATATATTTTGGTATGGGAAACGTTCCTGATTCAGAATGAGAAAAATAAACTTGCTTACTTTTGGTTGTATCTCTATTTATATACTTATTTTCACCTTATAGATATGTGTATATATGTACATCTATATGTGTGTATATACACGTGTGCGTGTATTAGGTATGTGTGCATATGTAACATATCTGTAATATATATGCATAATATATACATACATGTATTATATATACATACATATATTACAGAGCAACAAAAAAGATTAATCTTGTGATGTAATTTGGCAGTTAGTGGAGCTGACAAAATAGACAAAATATATATAAAATATAAACATGAAATGTGATGGTATATGTGAGAAATATTTAACACAAATTCTTACTAAGACATGGTTGAGTTTATGTAAAAAGCAGTCAATGTTTTCTCAGAATAATGGTTATCCTTTTCTAAGAGAAAAATAATATGGCCCCCTGTTATACATAAGACTGCTTTTGTTTGACTGAAAGAAAAATGCAAAAAATAAATGTAGGGAAACTTTCATTTTACAGGTATTCAGCAGACATACAAAAACGACACTAAAAACAGAACAGTTGTGTGGGCTGCAGTTTAACAGGTACTTATTATATATTTAAAACCTATTTTAAAGCTGCTTTCTGTAGTTAGGCCTCTATTCTGTACAACAGCGGTATTTATTGTACTGTTTCCAGCACTCCACTCAAGCACTAGGCTCCTAACTTTTATTTCATAGACTATATGTATCAGAAGAAAGGAGTTGATATTTGGCAAAAAATAAATCGAAGAAATACTCTTTGCGGAGTTTTTCTCTTTTAGTCAAGTAGGTTGCTACCCTGGTAAGGTTCCTAGTAATTACGATAAATAGAAGAAGTGGAAATCCAGAATATGCTTTCAGCTTAACTGTTGCCTCACAGTTAGAGATACTCTATTACGAAACTCTTGATTATTCATTTTTGGGAATATCATTTATCATGCTAAACAAGTATATTCCTGGATAATACCAATCTAATTGTATATTTGGGACTAACCTAGTTTAAA